ATGGAAGTAGGGTCAGAACAGAGAAGGAAACAAAAGTTTCAGTCTCCTAGTCCAGAACTATTGAGGTTAGGATGTGTAGGGGCAGGAATTGTGGCCATTAAAAGATCAAAGAAATTTTTTCTTTATCTACCTTATATATTCTATCACTTCATCACCTTTAGGTAGTCCAAGGAAAGAACTCTAGGAGGGGTTAGTAGACTGCTGAAAAAACTGGGTAGAGGTCACTCTTTCACCCCACTTCATGCCCTTCAGCTTCTCTGTGATCTTTTCTTACTGGCCATGTGCTTGGTCAGATCCACTCTCCACATGTCCCTTCCAGTGCCTCCTCCCAAGTTAGATCTTTGTGTTTCTACTCTCTTCAAAGGTGTTGTGGTGGTTATATTTGTGTGTCAACTTGGCTGGACCTGACTGAGTGGCTGGGCAGCTGGTGGTAGTTATTCCCCATGATGAGATTGGCAATCAACTCCATGGTGGGATCTACCACAAATATCTGATAGCTGCCTTTGGGATGTGGTCTGTTTCCTGTATATAAGGAGAAGCCTTGGGGATAGTCTCAAGCTTATGGTATGTTTGGGCCCTGCATGAAGCCGTGTTGTTGCTCAGCAGCCTGCTATGCTCTGCCGACCTTGGGACTTAAAATGGACTTAAGTTAATGGTCTGCCGTGTGATCTGGTAACATCGGGACTGTGCCTTTTTACTTGTCAACCTTGGGGCTTCCCAGCCTCAGCAACCAGCAGCTGTCTGAGTGAAGAAACACCTCTAGCTTCAGTGGGCCGGGAGCAGGAGGCAAAGCTGGACCCCAAGGTTGAGGAGCTTTCACCTGGCCCCTATAGCCTGGCACTTTGAACTTGGACTTAAAGCCTTCAAATTATAAGAATAAACTCCTGTTTGTTAAGGCCATCCCATTTGTGGTATATTTCTTGTCAGAGCAGCACTAGGTAACCAGAATAGGTGTCAAAGTAGCCAAGGACCCTGGTTATGGAAGTACCTACCTGTCTTTTTCTTGTTAATTTTACTTTCTCTGGCTCTTTTCTCTCACTAGATAGTTTTCTTTCTGTCTCCCCTTGGATCTTTCTGCACCAGATTGGGTCTAATGAATAAATGATACTCAGAACTAGATCTCCTCTGATGGCTGTACATGTAGGTTACACCTCCTTAAAAATTAAAAGGCACAGTGAAGTTTGCACAACATGGTGAATGCAATTAATGTCACCAAATTGTACATGTGAAAAAGGGTCAAAATGCCAAATGTTTTGATATACACATTTTACCACAACAAAACATTGAAATAAAAAATAGGCATATGAGAAGAACATAGAAAAGGAAAACCCAAAATATCCATCCATTTAAATGGAGAAACAGCTGGGCCAGTACTGGGAATTGCACTTAAGGGAGGCGTCACGCACAAAATGCCCTGGGGTGGGGTAGAAGTTGTGTGGAAAGGAAAAGGAAGTAAAGTGGGGCTTTTTGTGCCCTATGGGAGAGAGAGGTTTCCTCTAGGAAAATAGCTGTAGCTATCTGCTTCCTTTCTCAGACTGCTGTGTTGTTCAATAGGGTAATCACTAGTCATGAGGCTATTAAAATTAAACAAACGTTTTTAAATTTAGTTTATTAGCCACATCTCAAAGCTTAATAGACCCATGTGACTAATGCCTACACTGTTGGACGGCCCAGATATACAACTTTGATAGCATCATAGAAAGTTCTACTGAATAGTACTGGATTAGGGGTGGTATGGGATTAGGAGGGGATGCATATGTTCTGGCCCTTCCAAGATCAAATCTCTGACAGGTCTTGGACGAAAGTTATCTATCCTCTCCCCGCCATCTCCTTCTCATATCATGTACCAGTAGCCGAGCTGTGTACACAACCAGCCCCGGGCACTCCCTCTCCAAGGATTCTCCATCTTTCTCTGCCCTCTAGGCTGCACTTGTCCTTGCTCCACCCTTCCAGTCCCTGGAAAACAAGCTGCAAAATAAACTTTTCCATCAACTTTGACCTAGTTTCCTGGTCACACATTGGAAGGGGAGGGGCCGCTATATTCTTGAACAGATGAGAAAGGGAGGGACAGAAGTCAGGTTTCAGATGAGAGTCACCATGACAACAGTGGAGCGGTAGAGACTGACACATTAATAAAGAAAAATTGGGAGAGTCAGAGAGCAAAAGAGCTACTGAGAATGAAAGATGAATAAACAAAGGGAAATTGAAATAGAAAAAGATCTTTTTAATTTCACTTTCTGTTCAGTTCACACTGATTTTACATAGAACTTCCAGCAGTCTAATATTTGGAATTATGCGGAGGTCAGTAGAAGAGATAACACTCAAATAAGGGCCAGGACTAGATCTGTCTGCAAGGGTTTAAATAAGCCAGAAATCAGAAAGTCCATTGATCATCACCATCTTGGGGTTTCTCACCATAGTTATTCCTTTTAAAACGAAACCACTGCCATTGAGTCTGTTCTGACTCATAGCAACCCTGTAGGACAGAATATAACTGCCCCACAGGGTTTCTAAGGCTGTAAATGTTAATGGAAGCAGACAGCCTCATCTTTGTTCCAGCCAGCAGCTGGTAGATATGAACTACCACTGGTTAGCAGCCCAATGCTTTAACCACAGCCCCACCAGAACTCCTTAGTCATTCCTTTGTTGTTGTTTGGTGCCATCGAGTCAGTTTTGACTCCTAGAGATCCTATGTAGAACAGAACGAAACACTGCAGTCCTGAGTCAGCCTCACAATCCTGGCTTGAGTGGGTCATTGCAGCCACTGTGTCAATCTGTCTCATTGAGGGTCTTCCTCTTCTCCTCTGACCCTCTACCAAACATGATATCCTTCTCGAGGGACTGGCCCCTTCTGACCCCATGACCACAGTCTTTCCTTTAGCGATAGTAAAAATTACCTCAAGTAGTGGTAGAAGTGTGATATCAATCCATTATTACCCTACAAGGAAGTAATGTTGTTATTTGCCGTCGAGTCGCACCCGACTCATAGCGACCCCTCCTTGGGTTTCCGAGGCAGTTAGCAGTACGCAAGTAGGATTGCCCAACCTTCCTTCCAAGGACTGGCTGGTGGGTTTGAACCTCCAGCCTTCTGGTTAGCAGTCAAGTGCCTTAGGCACTATGCTATCAGAGCTCCTTCACAAGGAAGTAATAGGAACTGCAAAAGCATGTCCTAAGGGACGAGGGTGGGGCTGAAGATATAGCAAATATTTACTGAGTTATAATTATATGCTTAGATAGAAACTATGCTAGGAACTACAGGGATAAACACACCGGCTGTCTTCAAAAGTGTTAATACTTGTAACTTTAAATTCTGAAGTCCTGAATTATTACTCTTAGGGTCAGCAGTATAACCAAGTTGGTTGCTAACCCAGAGGCTCCTCAGAAGAAAGGGCATGGTGGTCTAATTTCAAAAAAATAGCCATTGAAAACCCTGTGGAGCACAGTTCTACTCCAACAGGGACGAGATCCCCAAGTCAGAACCGACTTCACAGCAACTGTGCTCTAGGAAGAAACCCTATGATGGAACCAAATTATAAAAAAGGACATCTTGATGCTTTTCCTTCTAAATTCCTTCACAAAACTTACTTCCCTCTATTTCAAGAACTCATGTACTCCAAAACGGGAGAAACTTAGTAACGATTAGCTCTAGATGTAACTAGCTTAGACCACCCAAAGACCCAGGGCAATGGGATGGGAATGAAAACTAAATGTAGCTCAAATTCCTTCCGTCTTCACCCCTCCAACCCCCACTGACTACATTCTCCAGCATCATCACAGGTTAGGATCTTCTCCACAGGGTTTTCAGTAACATGAATTATAACATAGGGGGAGAGCACCTTCAGGTATACCTTCTTTCCAATGATTCTCCAAGGCCGTATCAACAAAAAAACAAAACATTTTGTCATTAAAAAACTTTATTTTTTTTTACAAAGAATATTCCCACTTGGGGTGAAAATATATCTGGTTAAGTACAAAATATAATTTTCATCATACAAAAAGATATGCAATTTAAAAAGAAACAAACAAAACCACCTTCAGCCCATATACTTTCTAGCTATAAAATTCTCAGAAAAAGGTGGAGCTCAGTGCTGACATAGGACAGGGAACAAAGTGCTAGGGGCTGCAAGGAGAGGGGCTGTCAACATCCTGGTCTCCGAACACCGGGCAGGAAAGGGGCCCAGGGCCTTTTGTGAAGAGCTGCCCTCAGTTTCTCATGGCAGCACCCAGAGGCTCTGATCAGTGTTGGGGCATTCTTGATCTAGAGTCCCTTCTTGGGTTTTGAGAAGTCACAGTGGGCAAGGCTGGCAGCAGCAACCATTCTTACATGATTAGAGTGTCAGAATTACAAATTCTGTACACTGGGACAAAGTATCAAAAGTAATGAGTAACACTTTTTTTTTTTTTGGCATTGTGCTTACTCCTAGAGACATAGTAGACCATTTAGCTTACATTAGAGATGGGGGGGGGAGGGAACTTGACAGAAACTAAAGTGCTAATAACATCACCTTAGAATCAAATCTAAGGAGTCACATGAAAAAAAGAAATACATTCTCCCATACGAAAATGTTTGCAACCGAACACAGTGCAACAGACTTTAAAAATGGCTTTTAAGACCTTTGGTGGGACATTACTACTACAGCTTTAAGTCAGGTTATGTAGTACATTCTGAGCAATGACAACTTACAGCTTCTTCCCTTTTAATTCACAGGGAAAGCTATCTCCAAAGTTTGAACCAAATCAGCCCTAGATGTTTTTTCCTTTTTTTTCTGTAGTAAGTGTACAAAGGGTAACATTGATTTTAAGAACCTCCTTTTCCCAAAGTTTTGGCCACAGTTCTCCCCCCCGCCGCCATTTTCCTAAATCAACTCTGTTCTACATGGCACGAAAGTTCAAGATCTCATGTTGTTACAACAATCTATAATACCTCCTCCACAAAAACCTTGGGAAGACCATGCCAGAGAGCCATTTCTACCCTTTGACTCAACACTACCGAAAATGCCTCAATTTTCAAGGAGATCTGAGAGAAACCAGACAAGCCTGAGGTTTTTCTAGTGTGTTTTTAAATCCATCCAGCAAACACCCTTATATCACAACACTGGCGCTGGCTAAGGACGAATCCACACTGCTCAAGGCCCAGTAGATGGCCTGCTGATCACCTCCTACAACGGGGAGTCAGAGGCTGGGGCGGACCCATACCCCACTGTAGAGACTGTTGAGTCTCTGAAAATGTGAGAGTGCAGGAAGAGAGTCAGAAAGAAACAAGTAGGTACAGCTGCTTCTTTTCTTTCACGCGCTCACTGCACATTGTTGTTGAGGATGCTGGGATCCACCTGGGAGGAACAAAGAGGAGACCATTTTAGTTTGAGTAGGAACTAAAAGAGTAACCTAGTTTAGCAATCTTTCCAACTCAACACCCTATAGAAGGCTTAGGACAAATGATGAAAAGTCTCACCTCACTGTAAGTAGGTGGTGGCATGAACTTGAACTCAGGAGCATACATAAAAATAGGGCTGTCTTGAGAACCATCTGTGTCATCTAGCAGGGGGGTGGTGGGACTCTCCAGTCGGTGATCTTCAGGAATGATATCCATATAGCAAGGAGGAGCTGGAGAGAGGAAATATGGAGCTAAGAAACCTGGCAAAAAATGCCTGGCCATTACAAATTACAGACCCAAACACGGGACCAAATGGGGAAGAAAAGGCATTAGGTCTGGCTCACCTTCTGGGGTATCAGGGATGTTGAGATCTATCCAACTCATCTCGGAACTGGTTCGGCTGGCCATGCTGGATGTCCGGCTGCTCAGACCTGACCTGCTGCCAATGACCAAGGGCAGGTCAAGAATGACTTTCTTAGAGCCAGGGACACTAACGTAGATCTATAAAAGAAGATAACTGATTGTTAGTTTACAGGTTTGGAGAAAAGACTATTGTTGTAGAGACCAATGAACGGTTCTTTCCTTCCCACTCACCAGTAAGGAGTATTCAACTCGAAGAATGTTGCAGCCCAGAATGGAGGGCCTGATCCTCTGCACCCGAAGGCTCTTGCCACGCCACGATGCACACGTGCCTGAGATAATGTGATTGCCTCTGACTGATGACAACTTCTGCGTCAGCACCTTGGTCTGGCCATTAGCAAGGTAAGTGTGGCGGGCTACTATGGCAGCTTTTGGGACCACGATGCGGGAGCATGTATTCTCAAAGTCAGCATGGATGGAAATCTCATCTCCTAGCAATGAAAAACATTAAGATTTATTAATTGATATTCAGTATAGTAACACTTCCTCTGCCTTCTCTCACTCCCAAAGCTGTGAAGTTCCTGTTATTATTAATCTACCCATTTTAGGCAATAGGTTTTTTACCTTCACAGAATCCTTTTCTGTCAATTCGGGCAGATACAGACACTCTCCCATCAGGAATAAACATGCAGGAAACTTTCTTCTCTTTTTTAGCAGATACAGGTGCCTATGTAGAACGGAAACAATGAAAAAACGCGTTTTAAAAAGTTCTAGAGATCATTCCAGCCTCTTTCCTTTACACTCCTTACATGAGGCAGCTTTCTCTCCCACCTTGGTGACTAGGGCTTAAGGTCATCAATCTAATTTCCAAGACACCTGACTTTTTACCACCAAAACCCAGGAAAAGTGAATCTTAAAATGAATCTCACCATTAAATCAGGGGTATTGACATCCACTAGATCCATCACTTCAAAGCTTTTCTTTGTCTCTTGTGTTGGCTGGCTAGGACGATCAAGAAAAGCCTTCACCCAGTAATCTACACATCCATATTTTCCTTTGAAGGATGTTCCCAGAGGCCTGTGTCAAGAAAAATTGAACAAAATTTTTTAAATGTTTACCAAGAACAGTAAGTTACCAAAGGAGGGGAAGATTTTGAGAGATATAAAATGTGTTCAGCTGATACCTACCCCTGAGGAAGCTCAAAGCCAAACTTGTACTCGTATTTGTTTCCAGGTCTCATGATCACCATCTCATTCTCACCTGAAGGGAGAAAAGTGAGCAACCATTAGGTATATTGTTACGCTTAAAATGAATCTGTGATAAGAAATGCTTCAGCAGCATGTTAGGGTATTGTAGTAGCCCTGCTTTCATCCTTTATGTTCTTAACTGAGAGATTCTGAAACATTTTTTTGGGGCAGAAAGTTGTATAAAGCCCTACGTTGTTCAAAGACTGAACATGGGCAGTTAAACTATCATCTCAAACAGAAAACAAGCGAACAGTAAGGAACTTTATGCATAAAAAAATCTTTGGATAGCTGAGGCAACACCCTCAGGATCATCACTTTCAGGACATAGTACCATAATAAATTGTATTTAATCACCTTTTTTTTTGGGGGGGGCTGTTTGCAAATTAAAACTAAAAAAAAAAAAAGGATCAACACAAAATTCAAACTATTCAATATCAGCGGCTTAGAATATTTAGTGTAAACGCCATTTAATAATTTCAGTTCTCTTCTCTAATCAGCTTTCACCCTCCCGACCTTGCCTAACAAATAACCAACCTTGGGACATTCCCTCAGAGGGGCAGAAGTGAAGAGTCATTTTCTTACCTGTCGGCTGGTCTTCCAGGAGAAGCGTGTCTTCGTAGCGCAGGTACTCCAAGGTCTGTTTGCACTGCTGTGAGCCCTGCATCCACAGGACTTTGGCTACTCCACAAGCCAGGACTCTGACGGCTTTGACTCGAGTCACTTCACACACCTCCACTATCACCCTGCCAGCCACCTTCTCCCCACTGCCGTACACCTTCTCTGGGTCGTTAAAGACCACCTCAAAAGACTTGATTTTCTTGAACATCACCATGATTGAGATGGGTTGGCTCAAGAGTTAGGAACAGAAAAAACAACACAACCCAAAATCCAAAAAGGACTTTTTGAGATTATTTCACTCAAAGTGAAGAGGATACCCTTAAGCAGATTGAGCTTGAAGGCAAAGTAAAGATTTAAAGAAGCCAACAAACGACTCTCAACTACTAAGCTTCCTAAAAGGTGTCAAAAAGAAAATTGAGCTGTTGGCAATACCAAGAGATTTCAAGATAAAAATTAGTTCTTTCTTTCTCCCAATAACTGGAAGAGAGCTTAGGACTTCCGCGTGCAGGTAATACAACCACCAACTCAGCAAATGAAAGAAGGTTTCAACAAGGAGCCGGAAACTGCTTTATATAGTAGCCGGGCTAGTAAGAGCCACGCGAGCGCTGGCCGCGAAGCTCGTGCTGCCCTCGTGCACAGGCCTCCCATTGGCTTCCTATCCCTTGTTTACTAGCAGTCCGACCAATCAGCGAGGTCGCAGAGGCTCGTGGACACAGAATGCTCCTGGCGCGGAAAATGGTTGTTTTGCCTGGCACCCTAGCACAGAGGTGGGGCGGAGGGGCTGCGGAGCTGCTTTCCTTGAGCGCTAAGGAAGGAGGGCCCCGCTGACCCGTAAACCTATCCGAGGGCAAGGGGCTGTCGGAGGGCGGGTGCGGATACTTCTTGTTTGGTAGCGGCATTTTGAGGTAAAGGAAAATGTGCTTATGAGGGAATTTTGTGCCTAGCCTTAGTCAGGGCAATTAATATAGAGACAACTGTTTATCCTGGCTCTCAAATCACAAGCCGGGTGAAACACTATCCCACACCCCCTAAGAAAACTGTATAATTGGGGCAGAGGGCAGGGAGTAGCGCGTTATCATCCAGAAGACCCTGCATCTCTATTAATTAAAACAAAAAACCAGCTGCCTTTGAGGACAAGGAGAACTTGTCACAAATCTTAAGCCTTTATTCCGTTCTACTGGGAAAGCTGGTGTGTGGGATTCCCCTCGGGGCTTGGAGGCCGTGTGCTTGCGCGGGTCCCCACCCCCTGTTCCCTCTAGTCAGTTCTCTCTGTTCTTTGGAGCGGAAATAGTAAGGGCGTGTTTACATCCTCTTGCTTATTCTCTCATCTCTTCGGTGTCTACCTGCAAAGTTGGAGAACACATTGTTTGTTCCCCATTTACCTCACTACTTGTTTAGTAAGGTATGTTCTTAAGGCTCTGATTATCTCTCTCTCCCTCCATCTCCTGGAAAGGAAAAAAAAAAAAAAAAGATGCTTCAGTCTTCACTCTTTTCCAGAGTTACTTTCACTCATTCTTTTCTCCATCTCCTCTCCAACTCACTAAATCAAAAGTACACCAGTAAATCTGTTACCCAATACTCCTCAAAGCCTTCAGGGTACTTAAGAGCAGGAAAAATTATCTTGTTTATAACCAGTGCCAGTAGAGAGATGGCCTTACCCTGTTTGAAGGAAGAAGTTCCTTGTCTTTAAAGTTGTGGGTGTCCCCCCCACCACTCCAAGCACTTTAGAAATTGGTGAGAAAGAAAGGAGAAAGACGGTTCAGAACACTATAAATTTAAGGTAACGAGGACCATGTCTCCTTATTCTTCTGTGTTGGTTCAATTTGACTGTGTCAGAGGGGTTTTTCCTTAGGTAGCCATGAGATGCCTTAAGAGCGGATGCCTGAGAGATTTCTCATAAATGTAATAAAAAGCTTGCATTCAGTAGTGCAGGAATTCTTCTCCCTTTTCTTTGGTTCCTGGTCTCCTCTCATATTTGTGTTGAGGAATCAGGAAATTATAGCCTTGTGCCTTGTGCTGGAAGAGGAAGATATGTCCCCAATACTGAGATGAAGAAGTAAATAGAAGCATTAGAGTATATAGAATTCCTACTCTTCCAGCAATAAGAAGCCTATTCATTGTTGTTAAGGATCATTCTTTCTTCCTTAAACACTTTAACTAGGTTGACATCCTAAGGCTAACAAGTTATAACTGAACCCCAATATTAAGTAATTCGGGCCTGGAATTGAACTAGTTCCCATGGCTTAACTCAGCCAAACAAGAGACAAGCCTACCAGCCAAACAACTGCACTAGGGAGATGTACTCTTTAGAACAATCAACCATGGAAGATCAGAAGGGCAACTTTTTTTTTTTTTTTTTTTTTAATTTTTATTGTGATTTGGGTGAAAGTTTACAGAGCAAAATCATTTTCTGTACAGCAGTTCATACACATTTTGTCTCATGACATTGACTGTAATCTCCCACAATGTAACAGCTCTCTTTCCCCTTCCTCTCCATAGTTACCTCTTCCCTGTGTTCTTGGCTCCCACGTACTCCTGCCCCACCCCACCCCACCCCAGTGGTCTCCCTGTACATACACTACCCTTCTGTTCTCTCATGATTGATCTCTCCAAGGAGTGTATCTTCCTGATGTAAATGTTCGGCCCATATGCCAGTATTTTATTTGGCTAGAAGCCACAGGAGTGCGTTCTGAAGGGCAGCTAGGGGACATAGTCTCAGGGGTTTCATCAGGCTCTATCAGACCAGCAAACCTGGTCATTTTATATATCTGTATATAATCTTGAGATCATCAGAAGGGCAACATTTGCACAGGGAGAAAGGTAGGAAGGCCAGAATGCATAGGCCAGAAGGACACAGGGAAAAGGGTTATCATAGAGAAGAATTAGAAAGAGAGCTGTTACACTGTGGAGATTGTAATCAGTATCGCAGGATAAGATGTGCATGAACTGTTGAAAGTAAAATGAATCTGTTTTGTAAAATTTCATCAAAGTCACAATAAAAAGCTTAAAAAAAAAAAGGATCAGAAATCATGACTTTGTTGGGAAACAAACAAACCTCACACAACACCAACCTTCAGGAACAAAATGAGAACATGTTGATCCTTAGGATGTGTGGGTTTGAGGCAGCACCTTGTTCTAGAAAGTTAATCAATGACTCATGAGGTGTTTTCAGTCAGTCAACAATGTTGATTGAGTTATTGTGAGCAATACCAAACCAAACTCACTGCTGTTGAGTCGAATCCAACTCATAGCGACCCCTCTTTGGGTTTCCGAGATGGTATCACTATGGAAGTAGATTGCCCAATCTTTCTTCCGAGGAGTGGCTGGTGGGTTTGAACCACCAGCCTTCTGGTTAGCAGTCAAATGCCTTAGGCCCTATGTCACCAGAGCTCCCTATTGTGAGCAAGTAAAATAATTTTGAAATTTCAAAATTGTGGCTTCTAGCAGTATTTTTAGTTTGATGGGTATGAAATTATACATAAATATGAAAAGAACAAAATGTTTACAGAGAAATATGTGAGTAAATATTGTTTAACAATGTGATATGTCCATAAATTTTAAGAGGATGAGAGGAAGTGGGTAGTAATGAATTAGGGTGGTGTTAAAACATCTCAGAGAAAAGGAAACACTGATATTTATTTGGGTACATTATGAAGTACAGTCCATGGTATATTTAATATTCTTCGCCAACACCATACATTCAAAGGCATCAGTTCTCCTAAGGAAGATCGAAAAAGAATTGATGTTTTTGAACCATGGATTCCCACAGGAGCAAACAAATCTGTCTTGGCAGAAGTGCAATCAGAATGCTCCTTAGAAGCAAGGATGGTGAGACTTCATCTCACATACTTCGGACATTGTTATAGGAAGGACCAGTCCCTGGAGAAGGACATCATGCTTAGTAAAGTAGAGGGTTAGTGAAAAAGAGAAAGACCCTCAATGAGGTAGATTGACACAGTGGCTGCAACAATGGGCTCCAACATAGCAGGGATTGTGAGGATGACGCAGGACTGGGGAGTGTTTTGTTCTGTCTTACATAAGGTCACTACTAGTCAGAACCCACTCGATGGCACCAACAACAACAATTTAATGCTTAAGGATCCCTGGTGATGCAGTGGTTAAACCGCTTGGTTGCCTCTTCTCAGGAGAAAGATGTGGCAGTCTGCTTCCATTTACAGTCTTGGAAACCCTGGAGGCAGTTCTGCTCTGTCCTATTGGATGGCTGTGAGTCCGAATCTACTATGGTCATGGGTACAGTATGAAGTGCAGAATTTTCAGTTTTTAAAATTCCCATAGTTCTCTCTTACTCTGTTTCTCTCTCTGCTTCCAGTTTCTTCTTTTCCTTCCTAATTCACAGAGCTCAGTACAGACTATGTGTTTGCTCTGTGGTATGCCTGGGTTCCCTTGAATGCCAAAAAACTATTTGGCTTTGGCGGCAGCAGCTGCCTACCAGGACTGTAGCCAAGGCATGTTCTGAAATGGTGCCCTGTTAGATGGGGTTGTTTTTGACCTTTCACCTTATTACCTGGTATTCTGGTAAAACTCTACCCCTTGATTCTTCTTTCTCTGTTCCTGGGTTGAAGGAAGAAAATATCTTGTAAACCCCTGTCCTGAAAAGAGGGTGCAAACACTTGGAAGCTATGAAAAAAAAGACAGGCCTAGGAAGAGCAAGAAAGTAGAGCTTTGCAAATTAGATCATGTTTACCTGTCATTTCCTCCACTCTGTGCAATCCCACTGCCAATAGGAAACCAAGAGATGATTGTTGTCTGTTTGCTTTAGTGGAAGAAAACAAATCAAACACGCTGCTGACATCGAGTCAATTCTTACTCATAGCAACTCTTTAAGACAGAGTAGAACTGCCCCAGAGGGTTTCCAAGGCTATAAATCTTTATGGAAGCAGACTGCCTCATCTTTCTCCCACAGAGCAGCTGACAGGTTCAAACCTGGACCTTTTTTTTTCCAGTTAGCAGCTGAATGTCCTAACCACTGTGCCACCAGAGTGCCTTTACTTTACTTGCTTTTAACAGAGGTGGCCAAATAAAGCCAAAGGTTTCAGGGTGCAAGCTCCCTCAGCACTCCGTTGCCAGTCAGAGACAAGTCACTTCTCTTCTTTAATCTCTGGCCTGACAAACACTTAGAACTCTTAAGATTCATAGTTCCCAATGCAAAACAAATCCCTTTCTTTGTCCTTTTAATCACTTCTGTCACCTCTACTCTGTAAACATCCCTTTCACCCTTGTTCCC